AAATTAGTATGAATTTATAAATGTTGGTAGACATATAGAGTTAAAGTTTACAGCTCATAATAATTTCATAATTATTTTACGGCATCATAACTCGTGAATTTACTAAGTAAATTCTTAAAGTATCGCATTTTGATCAATATATATGCCCTTTATCTTTAAGCTAGCCCTTTAATTAAAGCTTTTAATATTTCATTTATTTAGAATTTATACAGACATCAAGCATGATATCGAATAAAGTGAGAAATGTATTTCGAAAATACTTAAGAAGACTTTACAAAGAGACTCCTTCCATTGAAATTATTAACGAATTAGTCGCTGAGAAGATATTATCAAGCTATGATGCTAATCGTTTGCGTAAAATTGATGTAGAATCAGAAAGAAATTTTGAACTAATGGAAATATTGCAAAAGAGAAGGGATAAAGATATTATTCAGTTTTGTAAGATATTACGGGATTGTCAAGTACAAACCATTCAGGAACTCGGTAAAGAACTGGAGATGGAGCTAATGAAAGTTATGGAAGCCATAGATTCGAACAGTGGAGAAGCCTCATCAAGTGTTAATGGTAGGTTTATCTGAGCTGAATAAAATTTACCTGCTAAGCCCGAAACAGAAGTACTAACCATTTTAAGCTGAAACATAGTATCGGAATTTCTACATATACAAGTTTATTCAGCTCCTGTATATGAATTGTCATATGGAATTTTTCTCGTAGTTAGTCATTCATTTGATAAACCTTCTATAACGTGCAATTTTGCATAGAAATTCTGATATACAGCTGACGAGAAGCGATTTAAATCCAGAATTCGTGTAAAGTATAAGATATATTTTCTTATATGCTCAAATGCTTAACTAAATGGCAAGCGGCGATAGCTTACTGCAATAGAATATAATGGATGTAAAATTTAGTATCTATGATTACTTATTAAATTTGCATTAATTTGATACTTAGAGACGTCATTCTAGTCTACCAGAAAAATTTAGTCTTTATTTATTATTCATTCAATAGCAAGTGACACATTTGAAATGACTACCTGCACATAATTCTAGATATATAACGTATTTAAGGTGTTTTTTTAGAATGATCAGTTCATTTTAAGCTGTTCATCAATGATCATCAGCACATTTATGTTCTAAGGGGTCTAACTTATGCAATTTTTATTTACCTTTTTAGAGGATCGAATCGGTGCTGATGCAGGTAATAATCATCTTTTGAATATAGCTACTAAAGTGAGAGACTTTAATTTAAGTTTACTTTTATCAGACAGGTATTAATCACTCTTTTACATGTATTGAGCTTCATGTCATAACATATCGTCCTATAATTAACTAGTTATTTCCTCTCGTATCGTTCAACAAACCCATCCAATAGATAGCAGTAAAAGTGATAACAATCCAGGTAGGCATATATAATTTATTTTCAACTTTTTCACTTTTAATCTCCTGAATACTGAATTAATTTTCGTTCATTTTCTATATTGCATCTATAGCATACAAAATTGCAAATTAAAATGATAATTTCTACCCGTACTGTAATGAAAAAGTTTAGAGGTTTCGATTGATTATTCACTTTAGTTGATAATATTAAACTAATGTAACAATTTTTGATGATATTCTGATTAAAAGAAACTTAGGCGATATTCGTTTTACTACAGTAACATTAGCTACTGATTATATGACGCAAGTAAATACCGTAATGATTATATTGATAAATATGTAAAAGTTAATACGTTAGGCTTTAATACCTTTTCGTATTGCTTTAGAGCCATTTGGCAAATACTTTGTCGTTATTGCGAAGGAACTTCGTAACGAATTTGTATTTCGTTTGGGAACTATTTTAAGATTGGAAACAGTTGAGATTGAGGATATTTCTGGAAGAAGTTGTTCGCGATATGAAAAAATATACAAAATTTTGGAATTTTGGAAAGCGAAACGCAGCAAATACGCAGATATTGCTGAAGTAATTACGGCGTTACGCTCTATGAATCAAAATTTGATAGCAGATAAAGTTCAAAATATTTAACTGCAATAAAGGCTTACGTCTGAGTTTTATATTCTCAATTATGTTATTTAAAATTTAACATTAGTATACCGGAATAAAAGTACATTTTAACTAGCCCGGTAGGGTGTACTGTCTGTCAAGATTTATACTAAAATATTTGATATCAAATTGTCTTTGATTAATTAGAATCCAATAGTTTACAAATATTGATTGTCTAAAACTCTTTAATCTCATCAGATAACGTTAAAAAACTGTTTAAAATTAATACACAGTATTTAAATTTAACATTAGAGTACCGTAATAAGAGTATGCTTCCGTTGTCTATAAAGAAAGAATTATGTCAATTATAGATAGCTGGATAAATATACATTACTTCAGGACAGTTTTATTTTCTTGCTCTATACTATGTATGAAATGCCTTTAGAATTAATACCCTAAGTTTTACGCCAGTTACTACGGTGGCTAGGCGATTTATCCTTAAAAACAACTCTACTCCAGCATTACACTGAAAAGAAGCCGAATAGAAGTGAATAGGGCCAGTTTCTTTGGCTATTATAACATAATGAATCAGCAGCAGATTAAAATAATACTATTGCCTCTCCAAATTTCTATTCAAAGTTTCTCCATAGTGACCGTAGTTACAAGACATCTTAGTTCCGTAGATTTCATTTTTATTTGCATATAATTGAAATTTAAAATTAGAATAGCACTATAATTATGCATAGACAGCAATAAATCTCTAAAAGCAAATGTTAGTGAAGGAACAGAAAACATTGCAATGACATAAAGAAGCAATGAATGAACTCCTGCGATTGTTGCGTTGTTGCTAACTAAGGCTCGCTTAGAGACATTTTTAAAAATACGTACAAAGATTTTGGCAATTTAAACAAGATATGCTCAGAAGAGTTCAGTAACGTTGATAAATAGGTAGAATAATATCAGCAAAATTTCTCGTAAAGATAGCTGACGCAGATTAATAGTTTTCACAATGACTTAAAATCCTACTTAAAATGTTGTAAATGGTATGATATACGCAACATAAAGATTAAGTACAATCGATTAGAAATCACTTTTTTCATCTAAATCTATAATGATATCTTAATCATTGTTCGTATTTGACTTAAATTCATTGTAAGACATTTTGCAATTTAATTGTCGCCGTTTATAAACGATAGGTTAAGCGGTAGGTGAATTATAGATTACACTTATTATACCTGGTTGTTGAGTTATACAAGAAGTAAAAGCATTTGATGATTGTGGTATCGAACTTAAAGCACTGGTTTGCTGTTGTCCGAAAGCTTCCGAACCTTGCGGAGATTGCTTGCTTTCCACAAGCAATACATCACTTTAGAAAGCTGAGGCTGTTTTGTTAAAGGCACTTCTGTCATGAATTTATGAGACTAGCTGAATCAATGACTTGTGTAATGTTATACTTCGATATTACTCGTAGATATATTCATCTAAATACGAATTTGTGATTTTAAAATTTTTATCTATGATTACCAATATGCATTAAACTCTTTACTTTATATCGTGTCTATCCAATACATATATGCTGTATAAAGTCCTATATTCATGTATGTTAAAAACCAAGGGCGATATACTGTACTACTAACTTGCAACAACTACCCTTGTGACACAAGAAAACAACACAGTACTTATAATAAACTTTACTTTAATCTACTGAACTACTTCCCTAGCCTACGGTATAGTAACTGGAATCCTTGGAAGTACTAACTCGCTCAACACCATATACGATGTAAAACTGTCACACAACTTAGCCTTAACCTGAATCACTTTTTATTAATCACGGTCCTTCTTATATACTCTTTCAGTAGTTATAAACATATTTACCGTGTTACCAGCATATTTCAATAACAATCATTTTATTACGATTGAATTATCAAATACGCACATTCGAAGCTTAAATTCTCTATTAAAAGCCGTTTGGTATTATAAATGTAAAATATCACATATATTAAAGACCAGTGAGTATGCACCTTTAAGTCCACAAGAAAAGAAAGCAATATGACTCACTGTCATGACTGTTTTTTCAGTTAGGTGGATAATGCTGTGTTACTCAAAAGTAGATGATTTACCGGAATTGTTTATTTATTTCTTAGTAAAGGGTAAATACATGATTGGCTAAAATTTTGGTTTCGGTTAATTCTTATCAAATTCCTTAGTAAAGGGCAGACACAAGATTGGTTGAAATTTTAGTTTCGGTTAATTCTTATCAAATATACAAACATGATCGGTCTAGGTTTTGTTTATTTGCGCTGCAGAGCATAGAGGCAATTAGCTGTATATATATATCAAGACCACGGATTATTTTTCTTGTTCTTCTCTTAGAGTTCTGTCACTCTCAATACTAATGAAATCCACGCTCGCTATACTTCGAGTAATATACCCATATGAACTTGTACTGTTTACTTTACGATCGATTAGGTGAACGATAATGGCAGTATTTATTAATTTCGCTCATAAAAATGGTCATAAGCTATATTTAATAAGCAGAAAGTCAAATTAATTTATATGTAAAATAATGTTCTCTGACTAAACAGTTAGATAACTCTTTCTTCTCCTGTTATAGTTCTATAATTTCCTGTATATGTTCGTTAACAATGGCGGTATTATTATTCTTGCTGATGACTTTATAATAAAATATAATATACCAAACAGGAAACAAAATTGATTTAGATGTAGCATACAGTCTTGTGACAAGCAATTGGACAACTCTGTATTGCAACTTTCTATAGTGATACAGTACATTCTGTATTTGATTGTATTAATAGCTATGTATGATACAGTTAGGTTTCTATAAACAGATGCTATCATGCCCCTAACATTAGATGATTGTTACTTACTATGCGAGTATCAGAGTTTGTCGATTACTAAACTTAGTTAGTTAGCTTAGCATAATAAATACAGCTAATGTCTAAATTGATGCACGGCTAATATGAATATAAGCAACACCTTTTGGGTGTACGTTAATAGAAGAGTAATGCTATTTAGTTAAGCAGATTGATTTATACTGTTAAGCATTCGATGATTTAGCTATTTAAGTGAAAGTTTTTTCTATTTTGTGCTAAATAGATTAAAAATGAAAATGGATTTTAGAACTGCACAGATGAGCTTCGAAACTTGAGTGCGCTTCTTAAGAGTTCACAATACTTTTGATTAGTTTCGTGCTCTAATTAATTAGTACTCGAGTATTCTTAGACTCTGTAATAAGAGTCCTTTTTTAAAAACTTTATCACCTGAGTAGGTTCTTTCGTAAAAATTAGATTCAAATTAGATAAAATAGATACGAGATACTTTTGTTACACTTTGGTACACCATAGTTTCTTACCTGTTATATTTATCGCCTAAGAATATATAATTTGGCACGTGTAAATTGAATCTCTCTATCTTTTAAATATTCATCAAGGTGTTTATCAATGATAAATTATTCTGCATTCAATACTTATAACTTTCTTATTTCTTTATTTTTTACCATGAAATTCTGACTTTAATATAGATTACGGTCTACAGATATACGTCGTTGGGGTTTTGAAATATGACAATGAAATCTATTAGTACACAGAAATTTTAAATGTTTTACTATCTCACAAATTTGGACACAACTATTGAGACCGAATTAAAACTGATAAGATAGCTAAAAAGAGACTAACTAATAGTTTGTATTAAAAAACGAATTTTAAGCAATCAAGAGAGTTACTGTAGATTTTTGGTTGGTTTTAGCTGTTTTTCTAGTTTACTGACGTCGGCTTTGAAAAATTTCAATCGCAATTTTCTATTAATAAATGATAATGTAATAAAATGAATTATTGGAGGTATTACGGAGTGAATGGACACTATTTAGAAAATTTAATATGATTGTGAAATGATAATATAGGCAGTTATTATTATTATCAACTATTTATGTAAAGTAGCGATAAATGTTTCTTAAAATTTCGTTGACGGTATTGCAGATATCTTTCCAGGATTAATAAATTTATTGGAGTATTTAATAATACTATTAAAATTGGTTTAATAAGTTGCTTTATTTTCAATAATAAATAGATACTACCGAATGAAACAGTGATTATTAACAGCTCTTATAATTCAGAAACAGATTTTTGTCTGTCAATTAAACATAAACTTAGCTTACATTCTATCAGTTTCGATTACGACTCCAGTAATGATGTTAATGACAGCTGGAAGTTTTGTTCTGTAATCATTGATATCTGTAATGTAACTTTGTATTGTGATTGTAGACTGTTAGCCATGTTTAGTATAATGTACGGTAGATATTTTTCCTAAGAGATATTTGGTAGCTATAACTATAGACTGCGGTATAGATTCTATGCTAGCGTATAGATGACTATATACAGTAAGGTATTGAGTTACTAATAAGGCTATAGATAAAAATAGAACTGTAAATCATATATAGGATATGGTTAATTCATTGTACTTTGGCTGGTGTGAATAATGTCTACGTAAGTAATGTAGTCGTATCTATATCGGATTAATGATGGTCCGCAGTAGAATAGTGTTACGAAGAATAATTTTTCTATGTGTAAAATAAGGTAAAAGGTTGCCATGCGGATTTTCGCTGCGAATATAGGAAAAGTATAAAAGCATGCAACTTTAGATTATTCTGTTTAGTTCGTTCTAGAAGTCTATAGTAGAATTATTCGGCTAGAGTAGAGCTGTGTGTAGTTAATCTTTGTATAAGATTCAATAAAGCTCTTATTTTTCTAAAATTTGGAATTTCGTGATCGTTATATATCACAATATTATAAATTAAAAAAACAGTTAAGCACCCCTGTAAATCACTTAAATGTAAATACTGTATGCCTAATTAATGAAATGTTTTTTTAAAATACTATGGAGTACTATCATATGTAATTATCGACAAGCACTACAATATGGTTTCAAATTTTTGTACATAATCGTGTTAAGGTTCGTAGAAAAGTATTATTCATGCTAATAATTATTGGAAATTTTATACAATTAATAATAGACATTTCAATATAAGCATATAAACGGGATGTAAAAACGTAAACAGACTATTATATAACATATTTACATACGTGTAAACTCTAACACTTGCTACGTATGCAAGTCACATATCATTTTGTTCTAACTTTTATTTAGAAATATTAAACTGGTTACAAAAACATTAAAATTGTCTGCGATAATGATAATTTAAAATAACTAATTAAAAAATGCGTACTGTAATAATCCTTACTGGCTGTAATTAATACAACTTTTAATGTTCATTGTTTTCCATTTCATAGCAATGGGTTACTGATATAGTAAGACTTTTTGCAATAAAAATAACAGCTTACTGATAATACAGATGCTGTAATGATCCTTACGATGCTAGCAATAATTGATTTAAGTTTTAGAATTCTCGTAAAGAATTAAGCAGTTAGTTATCAATCACAATCTTCTTTTTAGAGTTGATATTTAAGCATTTAAAAGACTATAATTCCTAGAAGCAGTGCAAGTGTAATTCGTAATAGTTGTTGTAATGATGTTGTGTTATTGTGTGGTTTGCAATACTGTGTCTTATATTATGGAGCTAGTAAAAACTAGTAAAAGTATGTTCAAGTCGCTAGTACAAAGATTATTCCAGTTTAAGTTTCGCAAGAGACTATAGTCATTGTAGAAGTTCGTTCTTATACTAGGTCTAGCAGTTAATAGATTTTATTCAGTAATTCCTGTTTATGATCTTCGAGTCTAGAATAGCTAACTATATAAGTAGTTGAAGTAACACGATAAGGTTTTCTTTTGTACTTGAGATTACAGTCTACAGTTGAAGACTTTTGTTAACAAGAAGCCCCGTATAAACAGTTTTGCTCCGAATCGTTTGGGATCGGAATTATAAGGAAATCAGAAAGAACACATTTATTACAAATTAGTTGTTAATCCTTGAATATATGAATCCGAAATCATTTACGCGACATATCTATTCTCTTATAATGTCATATCATTAGCATTGCTAATCGCCTAATCATAATCATTCTAATCAAATATTCATATACGGAAGTGTACGGTTATGGGCGGGTTGCGGCAATAATTAATCAATCATCACTCACTTAGCATAGTTAGTTCTAGACCTATTAATCAAGTAATAACCTATACTATCGAAATTAAGATAGATATTATAGTCATTTGTGTGTTGTATACACTTCGAAAATCTCCTGATTTTGCGTAGATAAATAGCATTATGAAATCGATGACATGATCAAGCGATTCGAAGCCATCATTTCGGAATTGTAACAAAAGATCGATATAAAGCTAAATATAGAAATTGGAAGAAAATATCAAGGCCGCATATTCTTCTGGACTTGTCGTTCAATATTAAGACTTAATTATACACGTGGTTACTGCCGTACCCCATTATTATGGGTCAGTGGCGATTGGTCGATATTGACCTGAGCATATATCGGAATAAGATTTAAAGACCGAAAATTTTTTTAGGATTTGTCATTCAATATTAACCTTTAGTTTCACACGTGGTTGCAATCACATCTTATCGTTAACGGACGTACGTATAACGCTTGGCCATTTTACAAAAAAAACAAATCTTTCAACAGACCGTTTACTTGAGTGACTATTTACAGTAGAAGACTAAATTAAGAGAAAGAAAGAAATTCTTGCCTTAAGTCTAGATTGACATCAAATTTATAGCAGGTACAACGGAAATATATTGAAGAAAGTCAAAATAGGTCTAAAGGAGTAAAAATAGACTTCAATTCTATTATTTTTCTTTCACTCGAAGTGTTGCAGTAATTTTTGAAGTTGATCTTCTTTAAGACAAGCTTTTGATTAATTCTAGCTCGACTTTTACATAATGATATTAATCATAGTTTAATAATTCTATTTCCATTCACGTAAGGTCAATTTTCTAGCGTAAACTTAATCATTATTGATCCAGTATGGAAAATCCAAACATTCAGGCAGCATTAGAAAACAATCGTGACAAATTTCTTAAAATTGTTCCCATCGAAGAATTATTCACAAGGCTCGAACTGGAAAAGATTTTAAGTCAAAAACAGGTAAAGGCTATCCGAGCCTTGGATGATACGGAAGATATGAATGGAAAGCTACTTAAAATCTTAAAGGACCAACGTACGGAAGAGGATTTCGTCTTATTTTGCGGCTTACTTAAAAACAATAATGTTAATGCAGTGAAAGCTTTCGGAGCTAAATTAGAGGCTGAAGCTGGAGGTAGTAAAATCTTCAAATGAACAGTATTATTGGAGTTCACTATTCAAAAATATATTATTAAATTATTATATTATTATTCATTTATTAATTAGCCTTTCTTAACTTGATTGATCTTTATTTGTTATCGAAATTTCTAATTTTATGTGACAGTAGTCTATACTTAAGCGAGTTGATTTTTTTATTTCAGGAAAGTTAAACAATCCAGTACCTAAGAAAACAGGTATATTAATTCATTGAACCTGTTTTGTCTTTGCTTTTTGCAAGCAAAGAAATAAAAATAGAGATAGCTACTGACAGCAAGTATAATGCTTATTGTAGCCTAATAGTACGAAATTGTACCAATTAGGAAAAATGCTATGAACTATTTTTAATACTGATCTGATTTATTAAATATGAATGAAAATTATCATTGACTATCTTACTGATCATAGTTAGAAGAGGAAATGATGTTGGTTAGTACTTCATTAAAGTAATTTAAGTTATAATACTGCAGTATGATTAGACAATAAGTATTATAAAGTGTTCGATTCATCCTAAAATTCTAATAAGTCTATCAATTTCAACGTGCTTTCTATTCGTATGTTTGATTCAGCGATGGAAGTGGACTCTACACTTAAAGGTTAGAATACGATAATACGAGTAAATCTGAGTAATCCTGGTGTAAATGTAGACTATTAATTATAGTTTTAAGATTCTATCACTAATCTCATATAACTCAATGTATATATAAGGATTAATAGCATGCTTAGAGATGTTTAAGTGGATAAATGTACATTTGTGTAATCTCGCATACAGAAATATCGCTACACCATTTAAATGAATTTAATCTTATTTTGAAATATAATGCAACGGAACTTTCAGCTAATGTGAAGGACTACTTTTTCCTTGTCGCTAACAAAATTGGTAAAGACTGGAGTAAATTAGGGAAAATACTTAACCAAAGCATTGATACTGATACTATTAAAGAGGAACAAACATCGGGTTTCGATCGAGCATACGCGGTCTTAAACAAATGGTATAATATGGTCGGTAGAGATATTGCAACCTCTAAAGCTTTATTGGAAGCGCTTATTGAGATTGAAAGGACAGACATTGCGGATAAATTTGTGAGCGTTAAGCCATTCTTGTATTAGCTTTCATAATTTTATTTCTATGTATTTCGTTCCTTGCAATTCGAAAATTGGCGATCATATTCTGAAAATTAAGTAATAGTAACTTGTGTACTAGTGTTACGAAGTAGTATTTCATACTTGATTTAGTATGCTTAAGTTGATAACTGATTTACATCATCTATATGATTTTTTGCAAATCACTATAGACTTTGATATTTTCACTTAAAAATTAACTGCAATTTTAAGGTTAGGATTTAGATAGCACAAACACTGCAACGACTTTTTACTTAAATATTGACGTCCTAAATTATCTATTTGATTGATGTTGAAAGATGTCCTTCAGTATTTATAGTATGCCGCTATAGAACGTTATTTTCATTGTTCTCTACTTATAAAGGAAGTAATATCTATGATAGTGCATAGTTCAGTACTCAAGCTCTAGTGAACTCTTCCAACTATGTGTGTTGCAGTAAATCTTAGAAAAAACGCAATAGCTAGTAAACTTGATGTCAAATTATATAGTAAAATGTAAAAGTGCATACAGTATGCCAAATATAACGAGCTTGAGTTCCACTAGTTAATAATATAAAACTGGGGTTTTAATGATAATATGAATGCTAGCAATAGAATCAACTCCATAAATTTAAAAATTCTTATGGCATTCAGTAATTTGATTGAATTACTAATGATAATTTTTCTTTCGAATAAACAGTGAAACTCTTCCAGGATGATCAATCAGTGATAACGAACTCGCGAAATTATAAGAACTCTTTTTCCCGGAGTGTTGTGAATTGAAGCTCTTAAAGTAATAAGTAAATTAGATTGTTCGGCACATCAACTTTTGCCCGTAAGATATATTCATAAATAAAATTAGCTAAAAGAAAATCAAAAGCCAATGTTTAGATAATAAAAATATATAATTTTCTCCGTGTTCCATATATTATTTTTGATAACTGGAACTAATTCCCTTAAATGATTGTCCTTACGTAGAAGTATTTGATAATACAGTATTACTATAAAATCTTGAAAGAAAACTTCAGCTGTCGGTGTTTTCTAAGATCGATTACATATTCCCTTTAAACGCATAAAGCTTCAATAATAAAATGGATCAAGTGATAAATGTACTGTTTATAATGGATCTAAATTCTTGTTTTAATACCTAATCATGTGATATCGCAATTCCTAGCTCGTAACTGCCGAGCTAAATTTCAAGCGAAGATGGGACAGTCATCAAATACTTATATGATCATTGCGATAAAATTAAATACAGCATGGGTTACTAGATGCGTTAAAATATAGCCTGTCTAATTGATTATGAGATACTACATTTTAATAATATCAAAAGTATAAAATACATATTTCGAAAGGACTGGCTAATACTTCTTAAAAACTTGACTATGTATCATCATTCAGCTCCTTCTAATGTTAAAATTTAGAAAACTTTTCAGTATACATATGTAAGCTAGATATAAAGAAATTAAACAACTGCAAATACGACCACATTATACGAAATTACAGTTTGACAAAGATCCAGACAAGGATTTTTGGAGTCATAAATTACCATCGCTTCAAAATGATGATTAGTTACGGTAGAATTTAGCGCTGTAGCTTTAAATTCTCATATACTGACTATAAACATTAATGTCCTAGGGTATTTTAAGCCATACTAGCTATTCTTGTGCTGTTTAAGGTTGATTTTACCTTGTTATGCATAAAAGGAGATACAATTACGCCATTAAGTAGATAAATTTAGGGATAGGATTACTTTGCACCATTTCTCCTAAACTTTTAGACTTAAATTTAGTTGGATTTTTTTTTTATTTAAGATTAACAGATTTAGACCTTTCAAACGAATAAGACGATAAGAACCTGTAGTCTTCAAAGTTTCAAATTGCTTAAATAAATGATAAAGAATATGATTATCTGTTATTGCCGTAACTGCTAGTATACTTATGTCGTAAATAAATTTTCGAGGAATGAAGAAAAATATTATTCATTGCAATTCTGTTTATCTCATTAAATGTAGCTAAATGCTAAGTTAATTCATCTATAACTAATCACAAATATTCGGCATCAATTTATTGTTAAAGATCATCCAAATTTATAATCGGAAACAAAGATTTCCCGAATAAACTAAAATTTGAATTACGTCGTATATTTTAAAAACTATTTTACTTTAACAAGTAGTTTGGATTCTTCTAAAAAATAAAATATGGATTGCGGCGTTAATAAATTTTCAAAATCCCTTAAACGTAGATCCACTTCCACAGTAGATTTATTAATATATGTAATAATTTCGTACTACAGTAGAACTAATGTGGTACAAGTTCTTCAGAAGAGCAAAAATCGATAGTCAGTTGCAGTAATTAATGCTTTATACTAACAATGTAATTGTAATAGCTAGTAATTTAATTGTAATAAAGTAACTGAAAGCTATTGTGAATGAAAAACTACGCAGGCACTATCGCTGGACAAAAAATAGAAGAAAATTGTATAGTGTACATTGGTATGACCATTTTGCAAGAGTAAAGGAATTCCATCGTGAACAAATAGAGTTGTAGCAAAGGACTAAAAGTAGAGTCCTTTATAGCTTTTAGTATGTAACTAGTATTATTTTTCCATAGAAAATACCTAGAAAGTGATAGTGTCTTTAAGTTTTACCCTTCCAAATCATCATGTCGCCATCTTTTCTTCTTCATTATTTTACAAGGTATTATAGCAATTATAAATTACTATAGAAGTAGCCCTAGAGCGAAGGCCTAATCTAAAGAAAGGGCGTTTGATCGTCTATTCAAATTCTAAATGAATTTGACCTGGTAACAAAACTCTATCCTTAGAGAAAGGGGACTTATGACATGACAGTAAAGTACTGTAATGTAGTCTATAATCGTACAGTTACCGTACAATCTGACGCCAAAACATCGACTGGCAATACTCAGCGATACTAATGTCAAAAAAGTAGTCGTAATAGTCATATGAAATTTTTTGATAAACGATATAGCGATTACTGTGATCTTTATAAAATCCGAATTTTTCGGATTCAGATTCCGCAACCGGTCGGATTAATGTCCGATATAATTTTCCTGTATTAATTTATGTCCGGCATAATTTTCCTGATTTAATTTTTGGATTTTAGTTTATGAAAAATATCGTCAGAGTTGATTTATGAAATTTCAACTTTTTCTTATAAATTTGAAACTTTAGAATTTTATAACGTGACATGAAAGTCACATTCGGAAACTTTAATTAGGAAAATAGAAAAGAAGATGGAAATTGGCAGAGGTTGTGTTGATTGTTAAGTAGTAGACTGTTATTTTTATGACTAAATTTTGATGTTTAAAGGTTAATTTTTAGACTTTTATAATGTATTAATGATAGAAATTATGCTACAAGTGAAGTTTGATTTATTTTATAGTTAACTTGTTGGTTTTATAGTATTTTGTAAGGGAATCGTAGGGTAAATTGTGTCTGAACTTTGAATGATTTTTGTTTTCTTAAATGGTGCAAAGTAGCTTTCTACAACGGATCTGAAGAGCGATTAGTTAGCGAATGTTTAGTTTTAAATACCTCAGACGGCTCTACGAAGCTTATGAATGATAGTGCAATTCGAAAAATTTAGAGGGAGAGTAGAAGAAGATTGTTTTGAAGAACTTGTTAAATTTAAAAGGCCTTCGGGATCGAATTGTCGTATGTTAAAATGTTCTTCTATTTGAAAGGTTGTTTGGTCGTTGACAGTTTATAAGTCCGTCACTTATTTTATTAATACTTAAAGTTAACTATTTGTTAGGTTGTTCGGTTTATACTTCTATCCATTTTTGTTTGTAATAAATTGCTGTTCGATTATTTCTCCAAATTTTTTTGGTGTCAAAGTTTCTTAAAGTTCTGTGGCTTGATCTCTGGACTTTTCATTTTATTACAAGGTGATTTGGTTAGTTTTATTATTATTATGATAAATTTGCATTTCTACTTGTTTTAAAACTGATATATGTCGTAAAATCTTTGCGATTCAACAACTGTAAAAGTCTTTACCTCATATGAAATGAATTTTAGCTAAAGAATAAAGTGAGTTAGTTGCATAGTGTCATAATATGAAAGGGAGAGGGAGAGTCTCACTATCATCTTTGACTAAAGTCTTTCATCAGTATTTGCTGTATAAATATACCAATTTATTATATTTTTGCTTTATTGTAATACAACAGACTTTCATTGCAAGTCTTTAAGAACTTTATACTGAAAGTGTAAATAATATAAGATAGAAAGATTATTTCAGATGTCCGCCATGAAAACTCAATCGAACTGTCAGGTGTTTAGAGGCTTGTTGATAATTTAATCGCAATATTCGGTAAATTCACTATTTTGTACATACGATCAGGAGTGCAATATAAGCTAAAAAGTATCGTTGATATTGGTAAGGCTTATTTGACCCACAGTAGTTGTTCAAGCTTGATTTAATTTATATATTTTATGAGTAAGAAATTTGAGACAAATTAAAATGAAGTTTTTGACATCAGAGTAATCTATATCGTTAACTCGTAGAAGACTGTATAGATCTTGCTGTATATGTGTCTAGTCTTATAAATCATAGAAGAAAAAGTAGATATTAGCTACTGCCAGCAATGATGATGCTAATTGCAACGCTAGTGATTTTGGATATTGTAAATTATCGCTGCGATATCATTACTAACTTAAGTTACGTTTTAATGATCATTTACAATAAAGCTATATATTAGTTAAATCGACTGTTTAAGATGATCGAAGCGTCATGAAATGATTTCAGTAAGCACACAAAGAAAGTAAAACAAATTATAATAACAGGATAAGTCTTTATTAATTACTTAATTTGATTTTTAATTGGCCAAATGAGATCTTAATTTATTTTAATTGAATAAAGCTAAATTAAATCAAATAGCTTAGGATATAGAAATAGGCTTAAGTAGGATGTACAAAGTATGAGTAACTAAGGTTAATTTTTGAATTAAAACCTTAAGAGTGTATTAACACTTTACTGCATCACCACTCTTATAGAACTTTTGATCCAACGCTCTATGTTAATGATATATTGCAATTAGATACTGCTTATGAGCGCTAGTTTACATTGATGGCTCAGAGAGTATCGTGTAAAAGACGTAATTTTCGTAGTAATCATTTTAGAAATACTGGCTTTACCTTAATTTTCTTATCTTAATAAGATTTTGAATGCAATTAAAATCATAACTGCATACGGTATACTATTGAACATATATTGCTGAAACATTAAACAAGCGTATCAGTTTGTTAGCCAGACTTGAGTTCAAGACTATTCTCCACTCCTCTTCAAATGCTATATCTCACTTGGAATTATTACATTAGCAAGATTAAGAAAAACAAGAAAGAAATTGTTTATATTGAGCAAAAAATAGTCTATAATGATAGCCAGAAAGTTGTTGAAGATTAGCATGTTTACTGCCTTAAAATAAACAGGTACTACTATATGTTAAAATATCTACAGCGCCTGAAATATGAAAAGAGGTCAGTAATACTTTTACATATAGAATAAAGCAAATGTAAGAGCAACCTCATTGAAACTAAATATGTACAAGATGATTGATGACTTGCCAAAATAGAATGCTTTCAGATCTGTAGAAGTATTTAGCTCATTAGTCAATTAATGAGGCAAAATCTTTGATTAGAGAAAAGTTTTAGCTAATAACTGAGCAGTTTGAGAGTAACTCACTTATAATTTACTCATATTTTTGTTGCAATTTTTCATTTTAATAAATGTTTAGCATTCTCTTTATCAAATGCTTATACTATTAGCTGGATAGAATACTTATGATCAAGTATCTGCAGTTAATAATTAAACAAAGTATAGCTACGGTAAACTGGCAGAATTCGATAAAGGCTAAGATTAAGATATATGAATGTTTCGTTAGCTTGAGAGTATTCAGTAAAAGTGATGTTATCTGTTTATTAGATGTGTTTCTTAGCTATACCTGGGCTGATTAGAAAGACGTAATTTAGGTAAACAATTTCTGGAAAGTAAAAGAATTACTTGTTGGATAGATAACGACCGACGCATTGCAGAAATGGAACTTTTATAGGAAATCACTAAAGCTATTCGATCATCTAGGGTATAAAAGCTTATTTTTTATCGTTCATTTCTATTTATTACTACGCTATAACTGCAAGTAACCGGCTGAATATCGCAAAGACTAAGCACACTATCATGCTGTTCGAATAATTATCATTAGGCTATATGGCCGAAAATAGGATATGTAGAATACGATTTCATATTTACTCATTCAGTTCGCTTTTACGCTCTACATTCTCAGCTACATTTTCTTAAGCAGAAGTATAAGGAATAGCTTTAATCATAAATTTGAGATAGCATTAATTGCAGATATAATGAAAGCAGTAATATTTACTAGCTGAATAGTATTCATTTCAAGTCACACAGAAGTAAAACTAATTATGGTAATATTTTAAGCTGATATGATAAGCTAAATCAAAAGCAGATTAATACCTTAGGATAATAGTTTCATTCTGACAGTTAATTAATTATTTTTTCACTATTATCTTCTGTAGGTGTTGGTGCCATTTATGAGTAAGAAATATATCGAATCAAAGAATTGCTCTTTGGAAAATAGCCTCGCCAATGACAATAACAAGGATATCGTAGCAGTCTTTATAGTCATTATTGAAGATATAAGACCTCAGAATCATTTAATCTCATCTAAAGGAAAAGATTTCAATATCTATATAAACAGATTCATGCACATCAAAATCCTTGTCCAAAAAATATGAACGGCTGAATTAATTACGTAATTAAATGAATTATACGAGGCCATCACGAAGAAAATGATTAGAATACCAGTATTGCCATCGAAATAGTTTTACTAACAATTCAATAACACAACTTGTTTTAGCGCTTATCAAGCTTTACTGTGCAATTTTTTTAAAGTGTTATCGTATTAGGCTATGACTATAGATGAGCGAATATGTTTCAAGTATAAGATATTGACAGCGATAAGGCTCTAATGGGTGCAGAGTCAAACATATTATATACCCAATTTGATAGATGATTGCTTAAGTAGTAGAAGACATTAATTTTGGCAACATAGAGTGTATCGTATTTCTGTAACCTTAGTTCCATCCTATCACGAAAACTATTTGAATGAATAGTATTTTTATGTTTTAGGTCAATATCTAGAGCTCTAGACTATACTACAGTCTTTTAGTTTTTATCTTATTCTAGGATTCTTTGTATACTTTAAAGTATTCTCATCGGTTACTATACCATTATAGCACAGTTAATTCTCAGATCAGGATAGGTTTACTGTTAATGCAAAGTGGTTGAACTAAAATCAATAACGGTAAGTATTCATGTGCAGGCATAGTGGTTAGTGCCGCTAACCACGCTCAAGCTGTTTGAAAATTTGAAGCCCTTTGAAATCTGTTCATAAAATAGGTTCCTAACTGTTATATTTCTGGCTAATAGAACCTTTGAGAATAGCGATACAGTGACGCACACAAGCTAAGGTGATTAAGAACTTCTTTATTGTGTTAACTTAGCTTACTTATATACCCCTGTGATATATACCAATCACGAAATTCCAAATTTTAGAAAAATAAGGGCTTTATTGAATCTTATACAAAGATTAACTACATACAGCTCTACTCTAGCCGAATACTACTACTAAAGACTTCTACAACGAACTAACAGAATAATCTAAAGTTGCATGCTTTTATACTTTTCGTAGCATTCGCAGCTACAATCCGCATGGCAACCTTTTACCTTATTTTACACATAGTTAAATTATTCTTAGTAAGACTATTCTACTGCGGACCATCATTAATCCAATATGGATACGACTACAGTACTTACGTAGACATTATTCACATCAGCCAAAGTACAATGAATTAACCATATCCTAATATATGATTTACAGTTCTATTTTTACCTATAGCCATATTAGTAACTCAACAGCTTACTGTATATAGTCATCTGTACTCTAGCATAGAGTCTCTACCACTACAGTCTATAGTTACAGCTACCAAACATCTCTTAGAATAAATATCTACCGTACATTATACTACACATGGCTAACAGTCTACAATCGCAATACTAAGTTACATTACAACTCCAAATTAAACTAGCAATCAAACACATATGATAAGATAATTTATACCCTAGATTCCCGAAAACTGCTAAATTAAGATAAAGATAATTTAGCTTGAAACTGTACATTTCTACATATAACGTTTGGGTTCTACATATGCAATTAAAAAATACAGTTGACTTCTACTGCCATAATTAATGATTAAAATTACTACATATACATTTTATTAACTAGATACATCGCTTGAATTACAAACTCACAATATCTGATTCTTAACGGACACTATGCTACTGATTATTATAAATTCTAACCCGAATATAACAATAGGGTTTACGATATACTAAGATACTAAGTAAAATCTACTGTTATATTCAACCCAATAAGTCATATTTTTTAAAGCTAGAATACTTATCACGATACAAAAAGTAAGTTAGAATAATCACAATACAAAAAATTGAAGGAGAATTTAAAAAATTAACCTTCATTACAAAATATTATGCTATTTCTACGTACGCTTATTCCTTTTGCGAAGTTTTTACCTACTTTTGTTGGGGTAAAATCTTAACTGTTAGCGATGCTTTTAAAATTAATGCTTTGCAGCTCTTCTGTTCTACTTTACATCGTAATACTCAAAATTCTAGAACTTTTAACTCTATTTATACTTTAAGAAAATTATAACAGTTTTTATATCTGTTACTTTTAATCTGGCCTACAATTATCGAACTAAAATTTTGCCAACTACGTAAAATATTCATATTTCTGCTGAAAAAGGTTGGCCAACCATATGGCTTTAAGTTGACGATAGCATTATTCTGAACTTTAAGGAAGTTTAATCCTACTTATGGATAGTTACTCAAGATAGTTGTGGTCTCCTCTATAGAAATAGTGTTCGTAATACATTACATAATTATAAAAGCATTTCGAAATAATTCAATAATTGAAGTTTTTTACATCATTTGAAACAAATTAACTTCCTATAACAATTGATTACCAGTTGTCAAATATGTTCTTCTAAAAGTTTTCCTAGATCTTTATTGCATTTTTGAACAGCTTTAACGAAGCCTCTAAATGCTTTGGATCCACATTCGGGTAAAATATCTAGTAGTTTTGATAACTGCCTGTATTACGAAGGAAAGGTAAAAGATGAGACCAAAAGTTTTATTTAACGAATAAATACATGAAAATTTCTTAAATTATGATAGCTACTCATATATATATATTTATCAATAGTTGTCGTTCTACTCTAAAGACAACTGCTAGAATAAAATTTAACATTACAAAATCTTTATTATCGTTATAAATTACATTCATTCTTACCTGGAATTAGTTTTTTCGGCAAATATTTCCTCCTTATGGTTTTCAGTAATGATGCTTTTTGAATATAAATTTTCGGGTGATCGGTTCAACGCTAGATTTCACATTGCAAAGAATTTTCGATCTATATTTTCTTAGTATGTCACGGTGCTTTTTATTCATGCCTACCGATTCTACAATTGAAGACATCAACAAAATTATAGTAAGTTTCTATATAAATTTATTATCGAATTAAATCTGTGTATTGCCATCAGTATTATGTCTATAATATAATTAATCTGTGCAATCTTACAAGCTTTACAAGCAAATACTGTATTAATAAACCATTCAACTTGAGCATGGTACGAAACCATTTTACATCACTCATTCTTCACTTTAGGATACTGAGGCTTACTATATGTTATAGTATTATTGTAAATAGACAACAGCCAGTGTTTTACTACTCATACAAGAATGACTATTAAATAATGGGGAAAATAACGTAATGTAGTTAAATACCAATACTGAATTTATGGTTCTTTAAGTATACGGTCTCTTGTACTTTTAAACCCAAAGATAATGCTAAAATGAATTTGCAGAAGAATAAGATAGTAGCTTCTTTTTGCTATCATTAATTAGAAAAATCCGGCAATATGAAAACAACTTTTATCAATTACCAGTAGCTGATTGCTTTCCTGATATTGTAGCTTTATCACGTTTGGAAGTCGACGAACCTATAATTTAATGACCAAGAAATGAATTAAACTGCTTATAAGAATTTATTTAATTTGTTTCCGTCTGTTAACGTCAATTCAGTCCCTGAGACTAATATGGGCTTTGTACAGTGTAGAGCAATAAATATGATTTGTAGATATTAATGTACTATTTCCTAGATAGCTATAAAATTTACTATCTCTGCCCAGTAATGGAATAAAATTGCAAAGTAAATTGAAATGTTTGAGCATCACAACTCTTAAAATGTAATAAATAACTACCGTGCCGAGCTAGTTATCAGAACGATTTGGAAATAGAATGATTTAAATTATTAATGTAGAACTGCTCATTAATTAGCTACAACTCTTCTCTGCTCAATGATTCCGCCTCATGAAGTATCTGATTAGCAAAATAAATCTACAGGCGCCGTAGCTATTTTAATATATAGTGGCACCAGTTTACTTTGAAGCAGTAGACATACTAATATTCTACAACTTTCTGACTATAATTTTGCAGTATTTGTTATTAAATAAAGAGCAATTTTTTTGTTTTTCTTGATACGATATTAATATTAAATCGGATCATAGCACAAAAAAACCGTATGATATTGATGCATCAATCTCTATGTCACGTAGGCAACACTTTAGTAACTTACCTTCTTTTATCATTCCCCAGTCATCTAACGATTTCAAATCCGGCGAACGATTACACTTTTTACATGATTTTTCTACATTATCATCCTGATCGTTTTGACTTAGCTCAATATATTGGTTACAGGTATTACTCGAACACTTTATATGCAATAAGCAATCATTTTCCAGAAATGTAGGCATCCTGCGTTTGATAATTTCTTGAAGTTTTTTCACTATAAGTGATTGCGGTCTCTGTTTTACGATTTCTTTTCTAACATTTCTTTTATTCCGTTTATCATCATTTGATACGTAATATTGATATGCAAACTAATACAAGATTCTTCTTTTCTAACCTTCCATTTATCATCATTTGATACGTAATATTGATATTGCAAACTAATACAAGATCTTCTCTAACAATAATAAAGTACTTGCCTTCCTTCACATAATACCGCGCACATCTATAGTTTATTATGACGTCGTTATTATTCCACACTGTTTGGCAAGCCGCTAGAAGGCAATAGAATATGCCATCAGATATGAAAGGTAATTTCTTTTCATTACATTTTATGAATAAAAACTCGGACTCTTTCATATCGTCTTCTGTTTCAATAGTTCCTGATGCTCCAGGAGTCACTAAGCAAGGAACAATATAAACAGCATTATCAGTTTGTTCAACTGTTTGAATTGGGCAAATTATGTTGTAGTACTCCATAATTTCCAGTATATGTTCCTTCTCATCTTTAGTTAATTCACAGGCTTCTGATGCACCGCTAGTTAAATCTTTGCTTGTCAGTGCCATATCAATGACGCCTTTCAATAATTTTCCTTCCTTTTCAGCCTTATTGTAGCATGCCAATAGGTAGCCGTTACTGACATTATCCTTACCTATCAATTTGACTACTTTACGAAAACTTTTAATTAACCATGGTATATCGGTAACAATAATGTGTTTTTCAGTTCTCACACGACAAAATAATAATTCGCCAATTTCGTGTAAATATTCTAACATGTTTCTTAGATCGCCATCAACATTCTTACAATCTGTATTTTCTTCGTAAAGCTGACAATCCATTGCCAATCTCTTGACTTCGCCTATAGTCATAATATTCTTAACTTTGTCTCTCTTGCTATGGAGGTTATTAACCATGCAATAGTATTTGGTTGGAATCTCTCTACTTTCGAAGGGTAAAACTTCAGTAAAAGATTTTATATAATTTAATAATTTTGTACGACATTCTTTATTGTTTTTATTGTTATCTTCTTGGCCGCGGTCAAAAATAATATTGCTAGAGCAGATATTTTTTGAATAGGACGGAAGCGCTTCCAATATAGTATTTCGAAATTTGTTATATTTTTGTTTTCGATCTTTGACACATTTAATTTTGTCGCCATGGGTAGCCACTAAAATAACAACTGGAAATTTATATGGTTCAGTCTTTACTTCTACTTCTGGCCGTTCTTCGCTGTCGCCAATAATGGATGTGAGCCATTCTTTATATCTTTCAAGATAGGTATCGCCTGTCCTTTCTTTATTTCGTTTTAATACTTTACTATCTATACTTTCAGCAATGTTAAAGACTAAAATATAAATACAGCTACCAGAAAGGAAGGGTTCCTGTGTTAGCTGGTACGCACGTTGGCCACCAAAATCCCAAAAAGTTCCGTATTGATGTTCATCCTGACTTTGATATTGATTCTGTTGCCCTTTAGCTAACTCCTTAATGTCCTCAATGTCTGAAGAAATCTCATTTCTGGTTTTGGCATCTTGAGCCGATTGATCATTTCCATTGTCGCTACTACTTTTGCCCAATACTGATACAGGATTGCTTTCTTTATAAGCTTGGTTCACTTTAACAGGTGTAACAGTGGTATCGATTTTTTTTGTATAAAGTTTATTGCAATCTTGCTTTGCTCCATCCTGTAGCTTTAAAGTGACAATATTGAGCACTTTCTCAGGTTTATCTAATACCTCTGTTGATGGTAAATCAAGTATTTGTTCTGCTTCAATTAAAATTCTCAGGATCGTACTCTTGCCAACATTCTCCGGTCCGATAAGCATGATTCTAATGAAGTCATTCTTACACTTGCCCTTCATTAGAGCCTTTATGTATGCTTGTAGATACTCTTTTTCCGGTAATTTTCTAATATCGATACAGAAGCGAATAGCCTTAAGCAATTCACTTAACTCCTCTTTTAATTTAGCTGTAGATGCTCCTT